TGGTCCTCCAGCAGAGCCATCTTCCCCCGCAGGATCTCCACTTGCTCCTCCAGGCAGCTCTGGGGAGTCAGAGACAGGCCATGAAAGCCCGGCTGCCCCTCTGCCCTTGCCCCCACCCTCCCCAAAAGCGGATCCCACCCCCCCATCACCCCCAGATCCTTCAGGGGAGGGGAAGGAACCCCGCCACCCACACAGGCCCCAGGGGTCCCAACCCCTTCCCGCGAGGGAAGCCCACCACCAGCCCTCCTTCCAGGCTTGGTCCTTCAAGGGGGCAGCCTCCGGAGTCACCTGAGATGCCAGCCAACCTGCCTGCCTGCCGGCCCTGGGCTGCTGCTCTGCCTGTCTCAAAACTATCAAAGGGGGAGCTTCAGGGGGGGGGGCTTTATTCTGGCCAGAGCCCTTCTGTCTGTCTGTCCTCCCTCCCTCCCTCTGTAGCTGCCTAAAATCTGTCTCGTCCATCCATCCATCCATCATCTAACATCTCTCTATATCTACCTATCTCTTCATCGTTATCATCATCTATCACCTTATTAGATCTCTATTTATCTTTATCTCTCTCCCTCTCTCTCCCTGGCTAACACCGAGGACAGTTAACCAGTGGAACAGCTGGCCTCCAGAAGTTGTGGGTGCTTCCTCAATGGAGGTTTTTAAGACTGGACAAGCATCTATCTGAAATGGTCTAGGGCAGTGATGGCGAACCTTTTAGAGACCGAGTGTCCAAACTGCAACCCAAAACCCACTTATGCATCGTCGGGTACCAGGTGGGTGTGGCCCATTGGCTGGGCGTGGCCCATTGGGTGGGCGTGGCTGCGGTGGTAACGGCAGACTGGGTGGGACTAAAAAGTTCCATCAATCAATTCCAACTTTGCGAGATCTTTTTTTTCCCCATGAAAAGTTGAAATTGACTGATTGATTGAACCTTTTTTTTTTTTTGCACACGGCGACGAAGGCCTAAAGTGAAAACGTTTTATAAAACCCAGCTGAAGGCCTAGGACGGGGACGACGGCGCGCGTGCCCACAGGGAGGGCTCGGAGTGCCGCCTCTGGCACCCGTGCCATAGGTTCGCCACCACTGCTATAGGGTTTCCTGCCTGAGCAGGGGGTTGGACTAGATGACCTCCAAGGCCCCTTCCAGCTCTACTCTATTTGGATTCTGATTCCCTATCTATCCATCATCTATCTACCTATCTCTCCATTATCTTCATCTATCATTCATCTCTCTCTCTCTCTCATATGGCTGCCCATCTTTCAGCCAATTCTGGACACCTCCCGATCACTTGAATGAGATGAGATTTTATCTAAAGGATAAAATTAAATCAGAGGTCCCCAACCTTTCGGGCACCAGGGACCGGTTCCGTGGAGAGAGGTTTTTCCGCGGACCGCAGGGTGCGTGGTTTTGTGTGCTGCCTGCATCCCGCGGATGGGGCTTTGCTTGTTTGTGTGGACCGGTTGCTGGCATGCCATGGACCGGTACCGGTCCGCAGACCGGGGATTGGGGACCCCTGAATTAAAGAAGCATTGCAACCTTTGTGTGTGGGCGTGCTCTCCCTTCGCTTCAGCAACCAGCGCCTGCCTCTCCAGGATCCCCATCAGCCTTGCTGCTCCTGATGAGAAGGCAGCCGGGCCTCCTGCGGCCCAGAACCGACCGCTCAGTATCCCCCCCCCGCCCCTCCGAGTGGGCCCGTCTCCTTCTTGCTGACCTTCTCGCTCAGGGCTCCGTGGAGATCCGCTTCCAGGCGACTCCTCCGCTCCTCCCACTCCTTCAGGGACTTGTCCTGCCCTTCGCTCATTTCGGTCATGGCCTCCTGAACCTCCGTCAGGGTGCGGGCAAATTCTCGGAGCTGAGACAGAAGACGGGGGCGGCTTCGGTTGGACGGGTGCCGGAGGACGTGGAATGCCAAGCGCCCCCCACCCCGAGCCCCATGGCTCCAGGACCTCATCCCTCCCCCCCCCCAAATTCTAGAATCCAGGCTCTGGCGCAGAAGGAAGCGGGCGCCCTCCTACCCGGAAAGTGAGGTCCCCGTTCTCCTCGGAGAGCTGGCCGATCTTCCGGTCCATCTGCCGCTTGTCCGTCTTCAGATCCTGGCACTGCTTCAGCGTCTCGTGCAGGCGCAAGAGGAGGCTGCCCGGGGAGGAGAGGAGAAGGAGGAGAGTCCTCAGAGGGAGGAGACGGGCACGGCTGCCTCGGGCAACGGGGCAGAACTCCCCAGGGCGTTCCCAGGGCCGGCTGCGGGGGCTCTCCCCAAATTTATTTACTTATTTCTTTTTCTTTCTTTCTTTCTTTCTTTCTTTCTCTCTCTCTCTCTCTCTCTCTCTCTCTCTCCCTCCCTCCCTCCCCAAGTGCAGGGGCACTTGTAAATTATACATTTGCTTACATTTATCCTGAGAGACGGCTGCAGGGGCTCTCCCCAAATTAATTAATTGATTGATTGATTAATTAATTAATTAATTAATTCAAAGAGCCAGCTGCGGGGGCTCTCCCCAAATTTAGTTGCTTCTTTCTTTCTTTCTTTCTTTCTTTCTTTCTTTCTTTCTTTCTTTCTTTCTTTCTTTTTTCCTTTCTTTTCCTTCCTTCCTTCCTTCTCTCTCTCCCTCCCTCCCTCCCTCCCTCCCTCCCTTTCCAAGAACTGGATGCAGGGGCTTTCATAAATTTATTTATTCATTTATATTTATTCTGAGAGCCGGCTACAGGGGCTCTCCCCAAATTTATTCTCTTATTTGCTTTTTTCTTTTCTTTCTTTCTTTCTTTCTTTCTTTCTTTCTTTCTTCCTTTCTTCTTTCTTTCTTCCTTTCCTTCCTTGCTTCCTTCCCCCCTCCCTCCCTTTCTTTCCAAGAACTGGATGCAGGGGCTTTCATAAATTTATTTATTCATTTGCTTACATTTATTCTGAGAGCCAGCTGCAGGGGCTCTCCCCAAATTAATTAATTAATTCAAAGAGCCGGCTGCGGGGGCTCTCCCCAAATTTATTCATTTCTCTTCTTGCTAATTTATTTGCTCGCTTATTTTCTTATTAGGAAATATAATTGCTGCCCATCTCAGACCCAACAACTTTGGGTGGCTTACAACATAAAAACAATTTTAAAAAAAAACACATTAAAATTGTCGATTATAAAACAACAGAGCGGATGAAATCATTAACACAAGATGCCAAAGCAGGAAGCCGGACACATGGGGGGGGACAGTTACGTGGGATTAGTTTTTAAATTGTCAACCACCACACTTGGGAGAATTGCATCCAGTTTTGGTCCCCACGAAGGAAAAAAAGATGCTGAGACTCTACTAGAAAGAGTGCAGAGAAGAGCAACAAAGATGATCAGGGGACTGGAGGCTAAAGCATATAAGGAACAATTGCTGGAATTGGGGATGTCTAGTTTAATGAAGAGAAGGACGAGGGGGGACATCATAGTGTTTTAGTATCTCAGGGGCTGCCCCAAAGAGGCAATCAAGCTACTCTCCAAAGCCCCTGAAGAAGGCAGGACGAGAAGCAACGGATGGAAACCCATCAAGGAGAGAAGCAACCTAGAACTAAGGAGAAACTTCCTGACAGTTAGAACAATTAACCAGTGGAACAGCCTGCCACCAGAAGCGGTGAATGCTCCAACACTGGAAGTTTTTAAGAAGAGACTGGACAGCCATTTGTCCGAAATGGTATAGGGTTTCCTGCCTGAGCAGGGGGTTGGACTAGATGGCCTCCAAGGTCTCTTCCAACTTTATCATCATTATCTATCTATCTATCTATCTATCTATCTATCTATCTATCTATCTATCTATCTATCTATCTATTTCCATGCCAAGAACATGGCAGCCAGGCAGCGTAGACAAGACTCTGCCCTTAACCAGTGGAACAGTTTGCCACCAGAAGTTGTGGGTGCTCCATCCACCTCTGGAGACTTTTAAGAAGAGACTGGACAGCCACCTGTCTGAAATAGTGAAGGGTCTCCTGCTTGAATGGGGGGGGGGGGGGTTGGACTGGAAGACCTCCAGGGTCCCTTCCAGATCTGCTCTTCTATTGCTTCCAGAGTGAAGCTCCTGCCCCTTGGGTCCCCCCCCCCAAGCCGTGGGGCAGAGGCAGGTCTTTGAAGCTCTGGCCAAAAGCCAGGACGGACCTTTCGTTCTTCTCCCGCAGCTCCTCCAGCTCCTTGGGCTCCAGCTGATCCGCGGCCGCCTGCCGTTCCTGCAGGAGAGTCAGGCGGTCGATCCTCTGCTTCAGCATCAGGATCCGGGTGTCTGCGGAAAGAGCACCAAGCCCTCCTCAGAGCCCCAGGCGCCTTCGTCCGCAGGGCCCCCCTTCAGACGACCCCCGGGAGGCAGCTGCTCCGGGATGCCCCAGTCCGCTTTTCCTTCACCCAGAAAGAGAAAATGGCGGCTCCACACGGGAGCCAGGACTGGTCCCGGGGGAGAGAAGCCGTAAAGCTGAACATTAGACGGGTCAATATATACATATATATTGGAATTTTAATAGTTTTTACTCTTTTAAAATGCTTTTTAAGGTTTTAATTATAGTGCATAGTATAATTCTAGCAGCCCAGAGTTGTTCACGGAGATGCGTGGCTATGGAAAAATAAAATAAAATAATTTTTTTAAAAAAAGTAAAGTAAAATAAGTAAAATAAAAACTGAAGTAAAACAAACAAATAAAGTAACATAAAATAAAGAAGTAAAATAAAAAACTGAAGTAAAATAAAGAAAGTAAAATAAAATAAGTAAAATAAAAACTGAAGTGAAATAAACAAAGTAAAATAAAATAAATAAAATAAAAACTGAAATAAAATAAAGTAAAATAAAATAAATAAGTAAGATAAAAAACTGAAGTAAAATAAACAAAGTAAAGTAAAGTAAAATAAAATAAATAAAATAAAAACTGAGTAAAATAAACAAAGTAAAGCAAAATAAAACAAAGTAAAATAAGAACTGAAGTAAAATAAACAAACTAAAATAAAATAAATAAGTAAAATAAAAAACTAAAGTAAAATAAACAAAGTGAAGTAAAATAAAGTAAAATAAAAAACTAAAGTAAAAAAATAAAAAAATAAAGTAAAATAAAATAACACAAATAAAATAAAGTAAATAAAATAAAAAAATTGAAGTAAAATAAAAAAAATTAAGGCAAAATAAAATAAATAAAATAAAAAATCAATAAGATAAATTAATTAAATTAAGAAAAATACAATACAATACAATAAAATAAAATATTTTTTTTTTAAAAAAAATGGCAGAGAGAATAGCTTCGAAAGACTGGAAGGAGAATTGCGGTGAAATCAAATTCTGAGCCCAATTGTGGACGTAACTTGAGGACTGCCTGTACTGACGGAGGGAGCGTTGTCTTTCCTAGTGTGGTCTGCCTGGGAAGGCTGAGAGAACCTGGTTTGGCCTTTTAAGATGGCAACATACAAGCAGAGATATAACAAAAGGGGATATTCCCTAGTTTGGATAATGAAACGTCTGCAAGAAAACAAGCCAGCTCAGAGAGCACCAAGGACCCCCCCCCCCAATTAAAAAAAGAGGATAAAACTGAGGCTGGGAATGGCCCGGGATGTCTGGCTCAGGGGAGGACCTCCCGTTCTGCTCTAACACCACCGGGGCTTTGTAGTCCCTTGAAGGTGGGCTGGTTGGGTGATCTCCACACCCCCTCCTCACCTTTCTCGTCAATGAGCTTCCGATTCTCGGCCAATTCGTGCTCCAGTTCATCCCGATTCTCCCGCTCCGCTTCCAGCATCTTCTTCAACCTCCTCATCTGGAACTGGGGGGTCTGCATGATCTCCCCCATGGGGGACGTGGAGGAGGGAGGGAGCAACCTGCCAACAGGTCCCAGCCAAAAAGCAACAGGTTAAACATCTCTTTTTAAGAAGAGAGACTGGACAGCCACCTGTCTGAAATGGTCTAGGGCAGGGGTCTTCCAACTTGGCCCTTTGATGACTTGTGGACTTCAACTCCCAGAATTCCTCAGCCAGCATGGCTGGCTGGGGAATTCTGGGAGTTGAAGTCCACAGTTCTTCTACAACTGTCACGGTTTTCTCTCACTCGGCACCCTGTCCTCTTGCCAGCTCCCAAACAAGGACCTGGTGACTCTCAGCACAGAATCGGAGTTTGTTGTTGGGACTCACACCTTTCTATCACACCCCATCACACCCTGGGAACTTGAGAGCCAGTTTGGTCTAATGATTAAGGTAGCAGGCTAGAAACCAGGAGACCGGGAGTTCTAGTCCCGCCCTAGGTGTGAAAGTCATCTGGGTGATTTTGGGCCAATCAGCAGGAGATGGTGAGTTCTAATCCCGCCTTAGGCATGAAAGCCATCTGGGTGATTTTGGGCCAATCAGCAGGAGACGGGGAGTTCTAATCCTGCCTTAGGCATGAAAGGCGGCTGGGTGACTTTGGGCCAGCCCCTCTCCCTCAGCCCAACCCACTTTGCAGGGTTGTTGTGGGGAATATAGGAGGCGGAAGATATGTTGGACATATTTGCCACTTTGAATTATTTATAAAAATAATACAAATGGGAAAATAAATAAAATAAAATAAATAATGAAATAAAATAAAATAATAATAAATAAATAAATAATAAAATAAAATAATAAAAATTAAAATAAAATGAATAATGAAAAATAAAATAAAATAATGAAATAAAATAAAATAATAAAAAATAAAATAAAATGAATAATGAAAAATAAAATAAAAAATAAAATAAAATAAAATAATGAAATGAAATAAAATAAAAAATAAAATGAATGAAAAAATAAAATAATGAAATAAAATAAATAAAATAATGAAATAAAATATAGTAAAAAAGAAAATAAAATGAATGAAAAAATAAATGAAATAAAATAAAATAAATAAAATAATGAAATAAAATAAAATAAAATAAATAAAATAATATAAAATAGTAAAAAAATAAAATGAATGAAATAAAATAAATAAAATAATGAAATAAAATAAAATAATAAAAAATAAAATGAATGAAAAAATAAAATAATGAAATAAAATAAAATAAATAAAATAATGAAATAAAATAAAATAGTAAAAAATAAAATAAAATGAATGAAATAAAATAAAATAAATAATGAAATAAAATAAATAAAATAATGAAATAAAATAAATAAAATAATGAAATGAAATAAAATAATAAATAATAAAATAAAATAATGAAATAAAATAAAACAAAAAATAATAAAATTAAATTAAATTAAAAAATAAAATAAAATAAAATAAAATAAAATAAAAATATAAATATAAATGGAATGATAAAACCTCCCCATCAGGCCCTGGGAAGAAAACCACCCTTACTTATTCATGCTGGAAGAAGAGGCGATCTTGTGCAGTTTCAAGAAAGGCACCCCTCGTTTCGGCGGGGTGCTCTCTTCCGAGCTGGCACTGGAGGAGCTGGAGGACGCTGGAGGCACTGGAGGAAAAGGAGAGCAGAGCAGGCTGTGAGGCTGTGAGCAGGCCTAAGGAGAAGCGCAGCCTTCAAGTCAACTGGCATTTTCCTACCGGTAGTAAATAAGAAGTTTCAAAAGAAGTTCGTTTTGCTGCAAAGGGGAAGAGGAGCGTCTTTGTTTCGGAGAAAGTGACCCCGAGAAAGAAAGAGCTTTGTAGGGTCAGGAAAAACAGAGAAACTACCCATTATAAAGGGTCAGCCAGCGTAAACACGATCGGATTGGGAGTCTGAAGAAGGAACCAGAGATAAACGTGACGTGGGAACCCATCGTGCACACCTCTGCTGCAGCATCTTTCAGTTATAGCCGTCAAGTAATCTCAATCTTCTCAACCTAGCGGCCTCCAGACATTGTGCATTGTCACTGTTACACAACTGTGCTCAGGATCACCCACTCACAAGCCTGGAAAATTGCCACACTCAATCCCAAATCAACTGAACTCGGAAGGCACAAATGCTTCTTTAAAATACACAAGAGGCCCAGTGAATTTAAAACAAGAGCAGACTTTCACTGATATAGTTTTGCTCTCATATACACACACGCACACACGCACACTCTCATCCCACACTTACCCAGCGTCCACTCCGAGGCTGCCAGGCACTAGAACCAGAGGGACAGAAGCCACCAAATCTGGGATCCCCAAAAAAATGACTCCAAAGGCTGGACAGGCTTCTTTTGGGAAGTCTCTTTACACCCCCCCTCCCAGAGTAGGTGGGGAGGGGCTTCCCATGCAGGCCCAACTCCTTTGTTGGTGGGCCCTGGGGGGAGGGGAAAGGGGAGGGCTTGCCATGCCCGGACACAACTTTTGTCCTTTTGTTCTGTTAACGACTTGATTCCTTTCCCTGCAGGAGCTTCTCCTGGCTTTTGTCCAGCCTGCTTCCATGCCTTTGTCACTTCGACTTTGGCTAGTCTCAACCACTCCCGTTCTGGGGGTCCTTAGTGCCTTAAGTCAGGCCACCCCTGGAATGCCTGGGTCCAGTTTGGGTCACCACATTACAAAAAAAGACGTCGAGACTTTGGAAAAAAAGGCAGAGAAGAGGAACTAGGATGATTAAAGACCTGGAGGCCAACAGATATGAAGAAGAACGGTTGCAGGATTTGGGAATGGCCAGTCTAGAGCAGGGGTCCTCAACCTTGGCCACTTGAAGGCTTGTGGACTTCAACTCCCAGAATTCCTCAGCCAGCTTTGCTGGCTGAGGAATTCTGGGAGTTGGAGTCCACAAGCCTTCAAGTGGCCAAGGTGGAGGACCCCTGCTCTAGAGAAAAGAAGGACTAGGGGGGACATGATAGGAGTGTTCCAGAATTTGAGGGGCTACCACAAAGAGGAGGGGGTCAATTTATTTTCCAAAGCATCTGGAGGCAGGACAAGAAACAATGGATGGAAACTGATCAAAGAGAGACGCAACCTGGAATTAAGGCGAAATTTCCTGACAAGTGAGGACAATTAAACCAGTGGAACAGCTGGCCTCCAGAAATCGTGGGTGCTCCATCACCGGAGGTTTTCAGAGAGACTAGACAGCCATTTGTCTAAAATGGTATAGGATCTCCTGCTTCAGCAGGGGGCTGGACTAGACGATCTCCAAGGTCCTGTCCACCTCTATTCTGATTCTTATTCTCTCTGCTCCCTTGCAGACGTTTCATGACCCAACTAAGGAACAACATGAGTGCTCTAGTCTAGTCATTACCTAGATAATAATAATAATAATAATAATAATAATAATAATAATAATGATGATGATGATGATGATGATGATGATGATGATGATGATGATGATGATGATGATGATAAAGTTGGAAGGGACCTTGGAGATCATCTAGTCCAACCCCCTGCTCAGGCAGGAAACCTTATCCCATTTCGGACAAATGGCTGTCCAGTCTCTTCTTAAAAACTTCCAGTGTTGGTGCATTCACCGCTTGTGGAGGCAGGTTGTTCCACTGTTGTGTCATGAAATGTCTGCAAGGGAGCAGCCAACTTCAGACAGCACCAAGGACTCCACAGTCTTCCTCGTCCTTGTCCTTGTCCTCCACCACAAACTCCACTCCCATCTAGCACTCATGATATTACCTAGTTTGGTAATTAAATGTCTACCAGAAAACCCACCCAGCTCAGAGAAACCCACAATTCAACAAAGTTCAACAGTTCCAAAAAGGCTCCACCCCCATTTGCACCACTCAGGTGACCCTGAGGACACAGGTAAACCTCCAGGTGGCCTTAACCACTCTCCAAAAGGATGCAAATGACCAGCTGTCTGTGCAAGGAATGTAAATCCTTCCCTTCCCCACCATCCAGTCAGAACTGAGGAAGCTTCTTGGATGGGAAGCGAAAAACAAAAAACAAGGAAGTCCAGTGTCAACGGTATTAATATAGGCCCGTGGTGGGGAACCTATGGCACGGGTGCGAGAGGTGGCACTCAGAGCCCTCTCTGTGGGCACGGACGCCGTCGCCCCAGTCCTGGGCCTTCAGCTGGGTTTTATAAAACCTTTTCGCTTTAGGCCTCCACCGCCATGTGCAAAAAAAGAAAAAAGGTTCAATCAATCAGTCAATTTCAACTTCTCGCGGGGAAAAAAAAGATCTTGCAAAGTTGGAATTGATTGAACTTTTTAGTCCCACCCAATCTGCCGTTACCACCGCAGCCATACCCACCCAATGGGCCACACCCACCCAACGGGCCATACCTATCCGGGACCCGACGATGCATAAGTGGGTTTTGGGTTGCAGTTTGGGCACTCGGTCTCTAAAAGGTTCGCCATCACTGATATAGGATATTATTATTGCTTTGACAAGATATACAGAACTGCCTGTTATTTTTAGAGTTAATTCAGATGACAGAGAAAGGGAGGAGATTTATAAAGGAAGCCCGGGAAAAGGAATGGAAGTGAATCTTTGCCCTCCGGGCTAATTGGAAGATATGACTGCAAAATAAGGGAGGGGTTTTAGCAAGAAAAGTTAGACGCAAGCAAGAGAAATTCGGATTCTGGCACCCATTCAATATGTGCCGATAATGTGTCCATGATTACAGACTTTTTCAGAATAAATATGCCTGGAATTTCCTTGAAGGGTTCCATTAGTCGGAACGTTGACATCCAGTGGTCTCCTAAAAAAGCATCTTTGGGACAACCAGGACCTGGAGGACTGAGAACCTCCAAAGACTTGAGGTACAAAGATTTCCAGGCAAAGCATCACACTCTGAAACCTGCTTGGTTCACACAGGACTCACTTTTCTTTTGGAGGAAGTTCTCCAGATCTTCGCTGAGACAATCTTCGTTGTAGAGCATGAAGTTCAGGAACTTGGCCATCTCCGTCTGGGGGGCGAGAGGGGGGGGAAACAGGCAGCCCCTGAGTTATCCAGGGAAGGGGTGTCACAGGAAATCAGACCCAGCCTATGCCCCCCCCACAACCAGGCCAGACCTCAACTCAGTTTTGATGGTGCTCTACCCTTCAGTTATTCCCCCAAACAAGGAGAACTACAGGTAGTCCTCGCTTTGCAACCGCAGCTGAGCCCAAAATTTCCGTTGCTAAGCGAGACAGTTAAGGAACATTTTGCCCCCGTTTTATGATATTTCTTGGCACTTGTTAAGCGAATCAAATTGCAGTCGTTAAATTAGTCAAACTGTGGTTAAGCCAGTGGTTCTCAACCTATGGGTCGCGACCCCATTTGGGGTCGATCGACCATTTCACGGGGGTCGCCAAGCAAGGCTGTCCGCCATTTTTTCCCCCTTTTCCGGCGGGTGCCTTACCTCCCTTGGGCTGGGCCAGCTGGTGGTCGGCCTGCTCCGTCTCTGCCGCTTGCCAGCTACGCCTCGGCCGGCGCAGGGGGCGGAACCACGCATGCACGGCGCTCCCGGGCAGGGAAAGTCCTCAACTTACGACCAGTTGGGTAGTCCTCGACTTACGACCGGTTTAGTCCTCGACTTACGACCGGTTGGGGTCGCGGCATTAAAAAGGTTGAGAACCACTGGGTTAAGCGAACCTGGCTTCTCCCCCCCTCCCCCGACTTGTCAAAAAGTCACAAAAGAGGATCATGTGTCACACTGCAGCCGTCATAAACGCGAGTCATTTGCCAAGCGTCTGAATTTTGATCACGTGACCCGGGGGAGGCTGCAAAGGTCATAAGTGTGAAAAACTGCCCTAAGTCCGCTTTTTTCAACGCCGTTGTAACTTCGGTCACTAAGTGGACTGTCGTAACTTGAGGACTACCTGCGTTGCTGAACCTGCATGCTGCAGCTAAAAGGCGAAGTCTGCCGAGGCGAAACGCAGCCTAGCACCCCAGAGGCTGACAGGTAAGAGACGAGGCGGCACCTGGCCGACCAGATTCCAGAGGGAATCCAGAAGATCTCCCTTACCTGGAGGCCGTGTTCCAGCGCAGTCCATTCCCGAGGGATCTTATCGCTCATGGAAGCGTAGTACAGCAGCAGCGTCACCACCTGGGAAGAGCGGAAGAAAAACAGTCACCAGGACACACCTGTATGGGAGGGGAAGGACGGCCAGCAGTGGCGGTCAAGAAGCTCCATGAGATGGTAACACACCTCTAGAGAGCTTCTGGCCAAAGGCAGCTGGGAAGACTTTGAGGAAATGGGCAGGGCCTCGTAGCTGGGAGCTTGGCCACCTGGACTCCGGCCCCTCCTGGCTGGTCAAGGCCTCTTGGGTGGTAGCATGGGGTTGGGCCCAAGCCTTGGTTTAAGAGGGGGCTTTCAGCCACCTTAAAGGAGGAGGAGGTGGTGCCCCTCTACTCAAGAGGCCATCCTTGGCTTTGACTATTTTGGAGGACTTTTCTCCAGTCTCCCAACTTCTCCCAAAAGCGTGGTTGACCAACTGGAAGGTGCCCAGCTTCAGAGGACCCTGGATGAAGTGATACCTGGACCCTCTTCAGGCAGGGTTAGGGCCAGGCCATGAACTTAGTCATGAAAGCCGGCTGGATGACTTTGGGCCAATCACCAGGAGACGGTGAGTTCTAGTCCCGCCTCAGGCGTGAAAGCCAGCTGGGTGACTTTGGGCCAATCACCAGGAGACAATGAGTTCTAGTCCCACTTTAGTCATGAAAGGCAGCTTGCTGACTCTGGGCCAATCACCAGGAGGCGGTGAGTTCTAGTCCCGCCTTAGGCATGAAAGGCAGCTGCTGACTTTGGGCCAATCACCAGGAGGCAGTGAGTTCTAGTCCCGCCTTAGGCATGAAAGGCAGCTGCTGACTCTGGGCCAATCACCAGGAGACAATGAGTTCTAGTCCCACTTTAGTCATGAAAGGCAGCTGCTGACTTTGGGCCAATCACCAGGAGGCAGTGAGTTCTAGTCCCGCCTTAGGCACAAAAGCCGGCTGGGTGACTTTGGGCCAATCACCAGGAGACGGAGAGTTCTAGTCCCGCCTTAGGCTTGAAAGCTGGCTGGGTGACTTTGGGCCAATCACCAGGAGGCGGTGAGTTCTAGTCCCGCCTTAGGCCCGAAAGCCGGCTGGGTGACTTTGGGCCAGTCCCTCTCTCTCAGCTCAGCCCGCCTCACAGGGTTGTTGTGGGGAAAATAAGAGGAGGGGATGTGTGGGGGAATGCTCGCTGCCTTACTTGCAAACGCAATAAAGGCAGGATAGAAATAAATAAACCATCTTCCCCTAACTGGCAGCTGAGCCGTGACCCCCGGCCTCTTCTTTTCCCCAGGCTGAGCCCCCCGGCTCCTTCCACCCATCCGGGCCAAGCCCGGGCCCCAGACACGGAAAGCCCCACGTTGCAACGGCCGGGCCCCACCTTGGCTAACTCCAGCTCTTCCGCTGCTAGAAGCTTCTCCTCGGAGACCAGGCTGTGCGGGAGGGGCTTGTGCTTGCAGATTTCTGGGAGGAGACAGGTGGGAGAAGCGTAAGTGAGCCCTGAATGCCGCCCCATCAGGGACCCCCCCCCTCAGCTCCCGAACCCCCAGCCTCTCCCCACACCCTGACTCAGCCCAACGTCTTCTAAGCAGGGCCACTTTTGGTTGGAGGCGGCTGCTCTTGGAATCCGCTTCCCGTCTGAGCAGCCTGCAGCTCTTCTACAGGTTGGTTCTCAACTTACAACCATTCATTTAGTGACCGCACTGAGAAAAAGTGTCTGTCACCCTTAGAATCCCAGATTCATAGACTCACAGGGTGTGGGAGGGCCTTGGGAGGAAACAGGGGAACGGCCGGGAGCCTAGATGGAGCTTTAAAGTTTGTTTTTTGCGTCTGTGGGGGGTGTGTGTGTGTGTGACTGCCGGGACAAAGCTTCCCCACCTCCCCCAGATCCAAGCCTCCTCCGACTGATGGGAAGCACTTACTTTGAAGGAAGCTGACAACTTGGGTCACCCGCTCTGCCAGACTCTTCTGGGAAACATCCTGCCCCTCTTCTGTGCCATGTCTGGAAAGAAAGAAAGAAAGAAAAAGAAAGAAAGAAAGAAAGAAAGAAAGGAAGGAAGGAAGGAAGGAAGGAAGGAAGGAAGGAAGGAAGGAAGGAAG